TGAGCCCTGCCCCTCCCATAATCCTGACGGCCACCCACAAGGCCTCAGAATATCTGCCTTTCTGCTTAGAGAAACACTATTATCCTCAGCTGTACCCACAGTCACATGGGCTGCTTCCCAATACACACAGGGTCTAGTCCTTACTTTCATCCTGTGTTACACACAGTTCAAAGCCTGAGGTGGTTTTGAGGGAGACCCGGACATAACTGTTTTAAGTGGCCTAGTAACTTTATGTAGATCCAAGATTGAGAGTCCACCAAATTAACCCAATAAATGAAATCCCAACCGTGGCAGAGTAAGAGGCAAGGAGGATACTTGGAGGCCTTGCCAGAACTGTCAAACTTGTTGCCTGGGCCAGCATTTCTATCCACATGTCACCTGCATCCTTCCCAGGTACGACTGGGGCATTAGGCTGGCTTGATCCTTTCCCAAATTTATGTAAAGTGTGGTTTCTTTGGGACTCTGGTGAGGTCACACCTTGTGCCACCCACCTTGGTGTTCTACTGAAACAGTCTCTCAGTAGCCTAGAATTCACCAAATGGGCTGTCAATCCCCAGGGATCTGTTGTGTCTGCCTCCCCATTGCCTGGCTTTTCATTTCATTTTATTCACATGGGTTCTGGGGCTTCAACTCAGGACCTGTGTTCGTGTGGGGAGCACTATACTAACATAGCACATCTCTAGAGCTTCGCAAGTGGTCACAGTTTCACACAACCATGGGTTGCACAAGCTTGAGGAAATGAGGGCTCAGGGCAGATTCTCAATAGGGGAGAAGCATGAATCAAAAAGGGAAAAAAAAACAGCATTGGAAGCTCCGGAATGGTAGGTGGGAGCTTGAATAACCAGGAAGACTTGGAGATAAAGGACAAGAAAGGCAAGAGTCAGGTCAAGGTCCTGGACATTACACAAGGAGTTTGGCTTTGCAGAGGTTCCTGAAGCATAGGAACCATGTGGCTGCATTTTACATGTTAGAAAAGATCATTCTCTTCCATAAAGAATGAATATGAGTCAGTGATATGACCAGCATTTAGGAGACACAGCTCATCAGAAGATGTAAAGAGGCAAACACCACTGCATTATTCTCCTACATGCTGGAAAAGTACTGGGGCCATTTATTTTAAACCATGAAGCAGGTAATGGGTAAATGACTTCAGGCTGAACCCCAGGTTCAACTCTAGTGAGTCAGCTCTTGAACTCAATCAGGCAACTGAGGCTCACTGACATGGAAAGGTGTGCCAGCCACCAAGAAGCTTGGTGGGGACACAAAGCTCCAGGTCCCTTGCTGGGATGTGGGTGCACAGTACAGATAAACATCAACAGGGACCACATTTAGGCCTCTGCAGTGGCCTTGGAACAAGGCTAGACTTTCACTTCATATACTGCAGAATAAACTTGGAACTCTCCATAAACCAAGTGTCCTTGAGAGCCCCAAATCTGGCCACCCTACACTAAACAAGGCAAGATAGGAAAAGAAAGAAGGAAAAGTTGGTGCTTTTGCTGAGTCCTGTAACTGCCAGATGTTAATAGCAGAGGTCTTTGGCTTAAGTTCTAGTGATGCTGCAGTGCTAAGCCCCTGGCCTGTCAGGAGTTGGCTCAGAGGATCCCAAGCAGGAGCCAAGCAGTTTTCTGGATGCAATGAAAACCTCCCTCCCTCCCCCAGTGGATACTGCAATTGGCTTCCTTTCATCAGAGGCTGAATTCCCCCAAAATCCCATGTCCCTTCCTCTGATCCTACAAGATGGTAGAGTTATGTGCACACCCTCTTTGTATCCCACGGGTATACAGGATGCGGAGCTACACAGACTGTTTCCTCCATTGAGAATAAGAAGCCGAGCAAACACCTGCCAGCCCCTTTCACATGCCAGTCAAGGGGAATTCCTTATTTTTGAACCAACAAGGCAGGAACAAGACTCTGGTGAGTACAGCATCAGCAGGGAGTGATGATGGGCAGGCCTGTGCTGGGTTTTAAGAGAGAAGGCCTTTGCCAAGGGAAGACCTGGCTAGGAAACAATCTTAGCCTATGCCTTGTTTGGGTTTGTTTTAGTTGGGCTGTTTTACTCCACTAAAGGGTCACAATACAGGCCACAAGCAGCCAGGCCTCCTTTTCTCAACAGAGCCCAGTATAAGAGAGACCCTGTGACAGGTGACAGGCCTCACAGTCCATTCTGCTCTAGCCCAGGGGATGAGCTGCCAGAGACAGCAGTGTGTGCCTTCCACTCCCAGCACACAACCTGGCCACATCACTGACTTCTTTTCAAAGGCCTAGGCTGTGAGGCTAACCTTCAATTACAAAATCCCTTTCAAAACCAATGACGTCCTTCATGTAGCTATTTTTTTTTAATTCTACCCACACATCCCCCAAGGTCATCATTCTAGCTGTACCTATTCTCCAAGCACTTTATCTTCCCACTGTTGCCATAGATAAAACTATTTTTAGTGCACAACTGGTTTGAAGGCAAATCCTTTTCTTTTTTCTTTCTTTCTTTTTTTTTTTTAATTCCCACTGGTTAGTGTGTCTGAACGCCTCTCTGAGTTTTGTTCTTCGGCTAACAGAAATCACCCACCCCACTAGACTTCCCCCACCCAGGGATGATTTCAGATAAGAGGGAAGTAAGTACATTTGCAGGTGGAAGCCGCTGAACAAAGGGTGACCTGTGACAGCCTGGCCGGCCACACTGCCCTTGCAGCTGACTCGGGGGCAAGTCCTGCAAAGCATCACCCGCCACCACCACTTCTGTTGGCTTGAAGTCTGCGACAGCACAGCCTGGTTTCCCCCACTGCCTCTACTTTGATAAAGGCCTTTGGATAAAGCTGGTCTATTTTAATAGCTAGCAGACCTTTTGACTTTGAGACTCGGCATTGTCCTTTACAAAACTCACACTCAAGAACCAGGCAGTTGAGTTTCAGAGCAAACACAAGCATGGCATGGTGTTTCAAGAACATTCATGACTCTGTGTTGGACTACATTCACAGCTATCCTTGGCCATGGGCAGCCCATGAGTGACAGGCTGAAAATGCCCAAAAGTATTCCAGTTTGAGACTATCTGTTGTCCAATACAGAGACTAGAGGATACAGAATTTCTTGAAAACTTCAATTTCAGAAACATTTTCATTTATTTATTTAGTGAATAATTTTACTTTCTTGTGTTTATAAAAGGTTTTTTTTTAAATCCATGTTTTGTTCCAAAACAGGTCTGACACACATTATCCTACAGTGTGTGTTAAGTATCCACTGAAAGAAATGATAAGCCCCTCTTCACAATCAGTCATGTCAGTTGGCCTCCAAACTCCTGTTCCTGCTGGAAGACTAACTAGCAGCTCACCTTCAAGGAGAGGCTTGCCTCGCACACCTCAGAAAGAGCCTTCCGTTTAGCATCACTGAACCCTGGAAACACTCTGCTCACAACAAAAGTCATCACTGTATATCATTTGTGACAATGTCTGCCTCAAGGAGCAGAGTGGAGCTGAGTGTCCAGCCCTGAAGCACACAGAATAGATCTATAAATATCCAGTGAGTCAGTCAATCAACATACCATAGCTTCCCAACACATGGCCCTGCCAATGCCAACACACACACACACACACACACACACACACACACACACACACACACTAAGCACCTTTAGAAATAGTGTGTCCACAAGAAGTGATACGATGTTCCAGTCAGAGGCCTGAGTTCAGATGCCAAAGGGGGAAAATATCCTCAAAGATGCCATTGAGTGCACCAGCCACATCTGTATTCACCCACAGGATCCCACTATTTACCTCAACCAGAATATCCCTGGGGGTGGAGGGTGCTGCATGTAGCTCAGGACTATCTCTTCATTCTTTGTCAACCAAAATTTTGTTCCAATTAACAAAGCTTTCCATGGGAAAGGTCAAATGTCCTTTCTGCAGTAGGGCAGGACTATGGTTGGACATCCACTAACCAAATGTGACGTTTACTTCATGAAGTTAATGATCAAACAACCAGAATTCTGTCAGCCTTGGGTGTCTACCATGCACACACAAACACAAACATACATACACACACCATCACTTGGCCCACACCCAAAAGCAACACATGCCTTTAGTGTACAGGCGAAGAAAGATAGCATATAAGGCCAACAAGCACATCTATCTACAAGTCAAGCAAAGTGGCCTGACTACATACGGAAGGGGCTTTTGGTCTGGACTTAACCTGTTCCACTGTACCCTGGGGAAACATGGTCAGAGAAGAGGTGAGTATTCAATATCATGACACCAAAACTAAAAGGCCTCAGGCCAAAGCTCTAATAGTGTTCTCTGAGGCCCTGATCTTAGAAGGGACACGGAATGTGAACTTGACTAGTCTGGCCATGCTTTCATGGAGCACCCAAGGAGGCGAGAACAGACACGGAGCACAGACTGTGGCTAAGCAAACCTTTTTCCAGAGGGACACCTCCCTGGAGATGATGCCCAGGGCTTTAAGACTGGCCCCCAGTGCCACAAAGAAGAAAGTGCCTGCCTTTATAAACTAGAGTCCTGCACAGTTGGGGGTGGTCAGCAGCCCTGCTCTGGCCTGCAAACAGACTGCCACCTTGACAGATCCCACTCCTAAGCCAGAGGCACTCTATCACTGGTGGATGGACACATAGACAATGGTCCCAACCAAGAGATGGAAGAAAGCTGGCATTTTAAATAAATTCATTACTTGTGCATCTCATGATAGTGGCCTCAGAAACCTCTTCCTTGTCCTTTTTTAAACTAGTGCCATGTTTAAGCTTGGCTTTACAACGCAGACAAGCAGAGGAAAGTTCTGGGTATTCCAGAAAGTCCCCTAAGCCTTCTCTTCCAGCAGCCAGGGAGTCCAGAGAGAAGGTCAATGTGCAGTCGGGGACAAGCTGGGAAACTTGAACCAAGATGAAGTATCGGTGGCCTGCAGCTGACCACTAAGTATCCTCCTTTCCACATCTCTACAGAGGGTTTGACAGGGATAGGTGCAGGAGACTCCTGCAACTCCTTCTCCAGCTAGCTACTCACCCTCCTACTGGGTGTCCCAGGAGACTTGGCGCTGCCACCTGAGAGCAGGGTGACGGTGGACGTGGAGCGCAGCATCTCGCAGCGGCTGTGGAACGAGGGCTGGGTGCTGGCGCTGCTCCGGGGCAGGATAAGCGTGCGGGGCGCACCCTGCGCGGGGGAGGCTCAGACACTTGAGGCTGTAGCTTCCGCAGGGCTGGAGCCCGGGGGGTGGGGTGGGGGCGGGGTCTGGGAGGAGCCTGGAAGGGGGCGGGACCAAAGAGTGCTCGCTAGACCCGTCCGGCCTCATTCTCTCTCCGAAGTTGAGCGTCATCTTCTCCGAATCTCCCTGTCCAGTCTTCCTGCACACTCTAGGTCCAGCTCTCTGATGCCTGTCCGTTCGGATTCTGCCAAACCCGGAGGACCACTGGGACCCTTGTTCTATGTCATTTATTCAGTAACTACTGTGTGCTTACTTGTGCCTCCTAGTAAAAGACCGATCCCTGTCTTCACAGAATTTGCACGCTGATGGGGACAATTAGAAGCGACAACTGTAGTTGCTAGGGTACAAGACAGGTATGTGTGCTGGAGTGTGCAACTGTCCTCAGGTCCTCAGGAGGCAGAAAGGAGGCTCCCAAAGGAAGTGACTAAGCTGAAGACCAGAAATGCAAGTCGGAGGAAGCCAGACACAGCTGTCCACCACATTTATTGAGTGATTACCGTGTGTCCACCTGGGAGGGCTGAGCACCCATTACGTCAACCAGTCTCTACGACCACGCTTTGGGATAGGTGTCATTATTACCTTGTACCCCATTTTGCAGATGAGGACATTGACTCATCAAGGGTTGAGTAAGGCAGCAGGAGCCCATGGGCTGCTGGGTGGGCCAAGCAAAGAAAGAGGTGACCTACTATGGTCAGCTCCTTAGAGACTTGCTGGAGCACTCTGCTGCCCCCTAGCAAAGATGAGAGCAAGGTAAGGGCAGGCCAATTACCTTTCTGAGGGACCCTGTCCAGTGCAAGGAGTTAAATGTGGACAGGAGCTAAAGAGAGCCCAGCCCTAGTCAGCAAGAACCTGGTGTGCATGATTTGACTTTTATCAGCAGGACCAAAGTGCTTTTGAGAAAGGGAAGACACTGTATCTCCATTCAACTCCCAGGCAAAGACCAACCTCCTCTCTCTCTCTCTCTCTCTCTCTTTCTCTGGGTGTGTGTGTGCGTGTGTGCATGTGTGTGCACACTCCCAGCAGGGAAGATGGTCAAAGAATGTTGCCCACCAGAATTCCTCACGAGCCTGTGAAACTTGCTCCTTTATAGATGAGGAAACAACAGCCACATTTTCTGCAAGTCTGAATGAAAGTGACTTCCCAGAATCATGGAGCCTATTCTGTGTTAGCCCTTCCTGATGCTCTCTACCAACCTCACCACCGTGTGTGTGTGTGTGTATGTGTGTGTGTGTGTGTGTGTGTGTGTGTGTGTGTTTAAGATTTACTTTTTATTTTTAATTATGTGTTTGTCTAGGTGAGTACAGGTATCCTCAGAGACCAGAGGCGTCCTACCCCTTGAAGCTGAAGTTACCTTGGTTGTGACCCACCCAACACGGATGCTGAGCTCACTCAGTCCTCTGCAGGGGCAGTAAGCTCTCTTGGTGCTGAGCCATCTCCAAGCCCTGTGCCTGTGTTCTCTGGGATCTACATTCACTTTCTCCTTAGGCCTCACTCAACCCCACCGCATGGATGCTGTTAACACCCTTGTTTTGCAAAGGAGACAGGAGTTAACTGGTCAATAGCCATACCTATGGCTTCTTCCTCTACTCCATCATTCTCCCATGGACCTATCTCTTCCAAAAATCAAATCCATGAAGTTTCCTTCTATCCTCCTCCACACAGCCCCCCATTCCTAGTAGTGCCATTTACAAACCTTAACTCTAAGTCTACCCTCCAATAAGTAGTGATCAAAGGGTGGCTGTTAGGGCTGGAGAATTGGCTCAACAGTTAAGAGTCCTTGCAGAGGATCAGGACTTGATTCCCAGCACTCGCATGGTGGCTAACACTACTCGGAGACTCCAGTTCCAGGTGACCAGACACCGTCTGTTGGCCTCCAGGGACCATTTGTGCACGTGGTACACATACCTACATGCAGATAATACCTCCATACATATAAAGGTAAATACACAGATTTTTAAAAGGTAGTTGTTGAAAGCCCCTAGGAGTTAGTCTGTTTCTGCGTGGTTACTTCAGTGGAAAGAAGCTAATGGTTAATGTCGTTTTGCTAGTTTGCCCCAAGGAGATAGGAAATGGGCTGTTTTTGCAGACACAGTCAAAACAACCTGGCATCAGTAATGTTTACTTATTGCATAGCAACCACCCAAGTGTCCATCCAAAATAGGCTCCGCATGGAGAGAAGGGGAGTTTGCATGTCTGCATTTTATACATTGTGCTGGTTAGCTTGTTTTGTTTGTTTGTTTTGTCAACTTGACATAGCTAGAACATCTGGTAAGAGGGAACCTTAACTGAGAACATGCTTCCATCATATTGGCTTGTATGCAAATATATAGGGCATTTTGTTATTTTGATATGGAAGGGCCGAGCTCACTGTGGGTGGAGCCAGGCCTGGACAGGTGTATAAGAAAGCAGACTGAGCAAACCATACAGAAGAAGCCAATATGTAGCATTCTTCCATGGTGTGTGCTTCAGTTCCTGCCTCCAGGTTCCCTTCAATGCTCTGTTCCCCTCAATGAAGGATTATAAGTTGTACACTTAAAGAAACCATTTCATCCCCAGTTTGCTTTCTGTTATGGCATTTTTATCATTGTTACGGTGTTTTATCACAGTGACAGAAGCTCTATGTCACCCATCTGTCCAAGTCTTTTTCACCGTAATATAATGTTCTAGTTATCAACAAAACAGCAAATGGCTTGCCAACTTGTGACTCTGGTTAAGAACTAGATCCTGTTTACATCCCTGCCCCACAGCCAAAATGCATCACTGCAATGTACTAAGTGAATGGGTGGAAGAACATTACAGAGCAACATTGCAATTTATTCATGGTCACTCCAAACAAATAAGATGCTTGTCAGCCCAGCTTAAAAGGTGTCCTAGGATCTCCCAGCAATTTGGCAATGTAAGTTAGCCAAAGCCCCCAGATTACCCAGCCCGTGATTGCCAACATCATAAAGCATTGTGGGTAGCAATCAGGCTGACCAACAAGAGAAAGATGAGACCACAGGAATTACAAAAGCAGGGAGATGGGAGACTCCCCAGGAAGTGGGAAAGGAGGTGGGGAGGCAACCTAAGTCAACAGGAAGGTGGGTGCAGGTGGAGGGGAAAGTAAAAACCAAAGCCCGGTTTCTGTAAATAGTTCTTGGAGAAGATGTACAAATGAAGATGACTCCGTTCAAATGAGGAACTGGGGCTAGAGAGACAGCTCAGCAGTTTAGGTCTGAGCACCCAAGTAGGATGGCTCACAATCCTGTAACTCCAGCTCCAGGGGATCTGATGCCCTCTTCTGGCCTCCACAGGCACCTGCTATCATACGTGCATGTGTGCACGCACGCGTGCGTGTCACACACACACACACACACACACACACACACACAAATAAAAATGAAATAAATCTTTTAAAATAAAAAGAGGACTCAAAGGCTGAGAACTCTAAGGTCTACAGAAGGGATAGTGGGAAGAGGAGAAAAGGGACAGGGCTCTGTTACAGAAGGACATCAAGCAATCTTCTAACATGCTGGGGCCTCCCTAGGCCCCCCCTGAACATTGATAATGGATGGATGCCATTGTCTGTGCTGGAGGGACCAGAAGTTCTGACACCACACCGTCTTAGCTGCTGTTGTTTTCTGTCCATGATAATAGCTGTATGTGCCTGAGTCTTGCTCTAAATGTCTCTGCTGAAGCATGGGTGTGCAGAAAATCCTAGATGCCTGTGTAAATGGCTTTCCTTTTCTTGGAATCAGTTTCTTAACTGAGTCTCCTTCTGTCATAGCCCCCAGGCCTCTGCTTCCTCAGTTGTCTTTCTTGCTTCCTGATGAAGCCTGCCTAAACTCTGGACATCCTTAGCTGAGGGCCTTAGAGTGGGATCCATTTCTCTAGCCAAGTTCTAGGAAGAAAAGAGTTTTTATCTGTGGGGAGAAATGACCAAGAATTGAATCACCCACCAGACACAAGAACACAAAATAGGTGAGTCGAGGGCACGCTGGGCCTTCTGGTATTTGTCCCTCTTCACTTTAAGTCCCTGAAGAATCCCTTCCTTCCTTTCATTGCACTGTGACAACATCCCAAAGTCCTGGCACATTCTCCTCTTCTGAATGCCACAGAGACCAAATGTTCACAATGGGAAGGGACACATTTCCAGCCCTGGTCAAGAGTGTTGAATTACAAAGCCCCTTTGCATAAGTAGAATAAGTAACAGCCATATTGACAGGCCTCTGAGAGGCAGGGAGCAGGGCCTAGTGATAAGGAAGGCAGACTGAGAGGAACCCAATCCCCAGACAACTCCCTCTGATCCTCAGCATTTATAAGCCTGTCTAGACATGGGCTGGGCCTGCTGCTGACCCACTGTAGGGGGCAGAAACTCGCTGAAGCAATGCTATGGCCTCTCGGCTAGCCCAATAAACAAATGGCACATTCGTCAAGCTAATCTGTACTGCTTGGGTTCGGTTGAGTGTGTGATGTTCCCCACGGGCTGCAATGTCTGCATCTTAGTCCCCAGGCAGTGGCTTTGTTTTCATGAGACTGCAAAACCTTTAGGAGTTGGGGTCCAACTGGAGGAGGTGGATCAGTCCGGGCAGGCCTTTGAGCATTATAGCCTGTCCAGACTTCCGGTCCCATTCTCTTGCTCCCTGTTTGGCTTAGATGTGAAGAGCTGCTCTGCCACACGGTCCTTAGTATAGACTAAGCCACTCCTGCCACCATGCTGTCTGTAACTTGATTGACAGACATCCCCTGAAACCGTGAACCAAAATAAGCTCCTTTTCCCATCAGCTGCTTCAGTCGCAGGAACGAGTTATTGATCAAATAGTAGTTGCTGGACCCTGGGGATACAGAGACTTCTGTGATTTCATTATATAACTGGGGAGAAAACACTTGGGAAATAAAAGGCTAGGACTCACATCGTCCTCCATGAAGAGAAGTATGTTGATGTGTTGGTAACTTTTGAACATGTAACAATAAGGAGGTGCTAGCGT